AAAGATATGTTAGAATTGGGTTTGAAATTAGAGAAGGCAGTGATATAGAAAATTCAATCAAAGATTTATATAGTATATCAGTAGGGGAAATAAATCCTAATCGTGAAAAAACTGATAAAAAGATAAAATCATTGGTTGGGATATCTAATATGAATAAATGGAAATGGCCAATCAATGGACCATTTGCAGGGTCTATATAAGCACGTACCTTGCCAAATATAGGTAGTTTTACCAATTATTCTTCTATACAAACACGAAATTTATCAAAAATTGAAATAATGAAACCAAATTTAATAATTTCTACACCTTCTGTGCCAAAATCTTTGTGGACTATACCAGTGCCGAATTCTGGTGATTTTTTTCTAATTTATTACTCTATAAACCCAATAATTGCTAAATTATTCAATTTTTAAATACCTCTTCTAAGCGTCTACGAATAAATACACCTAATGAAAATTTAGTGTAAATTAACAATAGAATTGTAGATATAGAAAATAATTTCAAGTAAGAAAACTAACTTTATTTTATATTACTTGTTTTTAAACTGAGTTATATATAAAATAACTAAATTAACTTCTGCTTATATTATAGTGTTAATGCAGAATTTCAACTTGCATCTGGATAGGCGTTACATCAGGAAATTTGTTTAGACATAATTTAGTGTAATATTTTGAAGGTGGTGTAAAATTTCGAAATATTACACTAAAAACGTAATATTACAAAGTTTACGCTTTTAAATTTAAATAATTATAGTAATTTAAGAATATCTCGCTATCTACTGATCCAATCAAGACGATCTATAACTTATTGGAATCAGCTCATCAAGACGAATCAAATGGTAGTAAAATCGCATTTCTACAGTTGATAGAACGCTCTATAGTATACAGTCAACTCTCTATAAATGCACGCCCCTTGGGACCGGACATAGACGTGCACTTACAAAGGGTGTGTAATTATATAAAAATTTAAATTTTACATTACAAATATGCAAAAACAATTTATTATGTTATGAATTAATAATTCTTTATTATGTATTATGTAATTATGTATTAGTTTTAATAATGAAAACAAGTATCAAATAAAGTATTGATGTATAGTGGTTTGTGTTTGTTTTTTCCTAACAAATTTTTCAATCGTATTAACTAATTTTATTTGCTCATTTGAATTCTCTTGTTGAAGTAAATATGTGTGCACAGTATTCAAACTTTTCAATGCCACATTAGTACCAACAGTTACTATCTTAGTACTATCATCAATTTCGTCCAAATCATTCAAATCATTAGTATTTTCTTCAGATTGTTTTTTAAAAATTTCTATAAATTCCGTAATATCCTCAGGAACTTCATATACAATATTTTCTTCAGGAATATTTAGGAATTCTTTCGTTCCCATTGAATTAGGAAGATTTATAATTTCAAGCATCCTGGAGATTTCATTAAGTACAAGGTCATCAGCTTCGGTATCATCAGTTTCAATATGATTCTCAGCTCCAATATTATCAGCTTTGATATCATCTAAACAATCAGTATTAGAAAGAATCTTAGTGTGATTCCAACAATTACTGATCGTTTCTGTTGTAACTTCATTCCAGCCCTGGATGATATACTGAATTACTTGTAAGACGCTCATCTTTAAATCTTGTATGTATTGACCGGCTTCAATCTGTTCTAATATCCAACTAAATAAAAGAAATAATTTAAAAAATAATTAATAAAAAAAAATTAATAATTAAATATTATCAACAATCATTACATACTGAATATGATAATAACGATAATGTTTTTTGAAAGACATAATTATCCCAGAATCCATTGGCTGGATCTTTGAAGTTGTGTTTGGTGGTAGAAAGTGAACATCAACATTTAAAAGATTCAAACCCTCTATCTTGTGGCTTGAACAGTTATCAAGCAATAGCAGAACGCGTTGACCTCTATGCTTTTGGCCAACCTGTCGATCAAAATCACGAAGCCAATCTTGAAAAAGAGTTGTAAGCATCCATGCCTTATTATTATTTCGGTATGTCATTGACAGGTTGCGAATATTAATGTTTTTAAAACACCGTGGATTTGCATATTTTCCAATTATTAGGGGAGGTAATTTATGTGATCCATCAGCATTTGCACATAAAGCTATAGATAGACGTTCCTTATTTTTTTTACGTCCAGAAATGCGTCTTGTAGCTAATGTTCGATCTGGTTCTAATCTGCAAGAGTATTTTTCAGTAAAGATATTAATAAATTATAATAATAATTTGATAATATACCGATAGAAAAGCCCTGTTTTATCCATATTATAAATCCTCTCAGGTGAATAATTAGCACATTTTTCACGCAATATTGGTAAAGCTTCAAGAATTGCAGTTTGATCAGCAGATGCCGCTTCTCCTTGAAGCTTTTGCTGACTAATTCCATTACGCCTCTTAAATCCTTGAAGCCAACCATTAGAAAATTGCAATTTATTTTCAGAAATTCCTAACCCTTCTGCTATTAGTTTAGCTTTTTCAATTAAAATTGCATCACTTAAAATTGCTCGGTGCTGATAATTCAGCACAAACTCCTTTAGAGCAACCTCAAGTTCTGGATAGGTGACAGGTTTATGCCGCTTTTGATTTGGTTGAATAATTTCGGTTGAAAGTCATTTTTCTCTTGTTTGTAAAATTCGTGTTATTGTAGTTTTGTCAACTTCAACTCCCCATTTTTGTTTAACCCAATTTACATAGTGAGCTCGATTCTCTTTATTACTATTAGCATAAAGACAGAGTTCATACTTTTGGTTATCAGTTAGAGTAATTTTTTTTTTAGGTGGCATATTTCAAGCAACGTTAGAAAACCGCAGCACTACCGCATCCGCAGCGCGTTATAGTATTTATATATAAAATATTACTTAGGGGTAGAGATAAGTACAATAACTTTATTTAGATAAATTACTTAATAATATGGATTTCGTACACTATAATTAGCCTTAAAAGGATTTACACGAACCTACATTTTATTTATTTAGGTAATTTCATTAGTTCCGGTCAAAACTATAATTGCACAAAGTCACGTGAGTGCATTTAAGTGGAAATTTCTATATAATCGGGATCAGAAAATCATTGCACGGTGTATAGAAAATAGGGTGCATTTAGCACTAATTCCCCAACTCGGGACCAAGCTGAGCAGTGCATTTAAACAGGGTGTGCACTTATATAGGGTGCATTTATAGAGAGTTGACTGTACAATAAAGTTTTAAATTAATAGAAAGCCATCTATCGAACATAAAGATGCGATTTTACCACCATTCGATTCGTCTTGATGAGCTGATTCCAATGAGCTATAGATCGTCTTGATTGGATCAGTAGATAGTGAGATATTCTTAAATTACTATAATTATTTAAATTTAAGAGCGTAAACTTTTGTAATATTACGTTTTTAGTGTAATATTTCGAAATTTTACACCACCTTCAAAATATTACACTAAATTACGCCTAAAAAAATTTCCTGATGTAACTACAAATTCATCAAGATTATTGGGTTATTATTCAATTAGAAATGCAAAAGTTTTACATTTATTTTAGAATAATTATACTAAAAAAATATTAAGGAAATTGTAGTTACTTATAAGAATTGGCTTTTAAATTTGTTAAATGGATTTTTATTAAACATGTTATAAAGGTCATAATATTTAGTTCAAATACTAATGTTAATAATAATAAATCCAGTAAGTTTACCAAGAACTTATTGTTAATTATTATTATTTTTAGTAAGATATAATAAATCCAAATTAACTGAAAATCAAATAATAAAGAAAAATTGAAAATATGAAAAATACAGATTTATTCAATGTTTAAAGAAAGAGAAAAGCTAAAAAAGTGAATAGGAATTGTAAAATAAACATATAATAAATTCTAAATGATAATATAAAGTGTTTTACTGAAGAATTTTTATAGGTAAAAAAAACTTTTAAAAAGATATATTTGTATATGATCTGATAAGTATATACAAAATAAATAAGTTGTATAGAAATAATTTTTTGATAAAGTACTTATTAAAGAAGAATCAAACACAAATTATCTTAATTTTTATTAGAAATTAAAAAAAAAACATGTATTTTTAAAGAGTATTGTTATCTTAAAATAATCAATAAAGATTAATAATATGGTTAGCATAACTATAAATCATCTGAAATATTTTTACTAATATGTTTCCATCCTTTTAGATATTATTAATAATCAAGATAATGTTTAATTTACAAAAAGTAATTTTGTAAGATCCAGGTATTTGTATATTTATAATAGGTTATAATCCTAATGGTTAATTAATTGAGTAAGTAATAGTAAATTAGTAATATTGAATTGATAAAGTATTTAAATTATCCAAGAAATATGACAAATTACAGAATAACAAGAATCTTGCTTTGGAAAGAATAAATAAGAGAAATAGATTTTAATTGGAAAAAAAGATGCTATAAATTATATAATAAATTCATAATTTGATAAATGAATGCTATTATCAGCTGATATGGTTATATCAGAATTATATATGAAATTATTTTGCTATCTAAATTTAAAACATTATATATAATGCTTAAGAATAAAAGAAAGATTCAATCAAAAACAGCTCATGCAATATTATTAACCTGATCTCAAATATTTCTTTTGCACGAGTTAAGGTTAAGAGAGTATAAGTATTGCAAGGTTATTAAGTGCATTGAGAAGTACACTTTTAAGACATGTGGGTATTGCAAATAAATCAATGGCAAACTGGATGGTTCTAAGACTTTTTTGTGCAATTTGTGCATGGAGATAGATCAGAATGTAAACCAGGCAAGAAACATCTTACTTAAATTGTTAACAGAGGGTCAGGTTTTGGCCTGACTTTGGAACTTGAACCCTATATAGGATACAATATGACTAACTCTGTTCATTCATGTTAAATTCAATTTCAGGGTGGCTCATACCTTCTTTTTATTTATAAAAAGATGGGACGTCTAAATCATATGATTACAATTGTAATGCTGGCCAAAAATAAATTGAATTCCGAGTAAACCTTTATTTATAAATTCTAATTTACAAAACCAAGAAGAAATTTACAAAGTTTCTATTTCAAAAAAAATTAATATTTACTAATAGGGATATTACCAACAAAAAAAGAATAATTTAATACATTTTATAGGGATATTATAATTAATTTTGAATATTTTGTCCATCTAAATATTCTTGTCTGGTTGCCTTCCATTCATTAACTCTTTGGATAAAAGGTTCAATAAATCTTTTATCATTTATAACCGAAATATCAATTAAATGATGATAAGTATTTAACAACTATAATACAATTATTTTTTTTTAAAAAAAATGATAATTAGTAAAATACATATTGTTACCCATTTTACTAAAACTATAAATATCTTACCTGATTTCTTAATTGTTCTTGGTATTTAACTTCGCTGAATCCGGTACCAGTTAAATTATCAACATTTTCCAATGAAGTAACAATAACTTGTAATATTTTACATAACATAACAGTATCACCATACTTAGCTCTAGTTGTTGGTGTCGATAATGCTAAACATGCATTGATACGAACTTTAAAATTCTTTGATGTTTGCACTACTCTTATTAATGCTTCATATAATTGTACCGACCAACTATTTGATTTTGATCCTATAGGAAAATTTGGATTACGTAACATATTTGCTGCTGCATAGCATGCATTCCATCGAACCTTTTTATACATATTTATAAAAAAAAAGAGATTTTAACAAGACAACATTTTTTAAATTTAGTTGGATAAAACGTATACCTTTAAGGTTCCAGATTCAAAATTCTTAATTAAAGATAAAACTACGTCTTTTATCAATGATCTTTCCTCTCGTTCTAAGAAATTTGTTGGGCTCACATGAATTATACTACCTAATGCTCTAACTCCATTAGGTCTTACTTTCTCATTATCATTTGATGCTGATAATGCCGCCTTTACTATTCTAGTCCACATAACCTTGATCAAGAATTCAGTATTTGTATTTGACATTCCTTGATTATTGGCAGGGTTACTAACATAATATTACAAGTCATTGTAGATAAGTACTACTATAAAATATTTTATCATACTTTGAAGCTACGTACCTTAATAATACCATTGTATCACATAAATTTCCTAATGCCCAACTACTTCTGACTCTAACCAAAATGTTTGGATCTGCCATTTGTTGAATAACCGAAAGTGCCATATCAGAAGCAAATGTGTCCTATTATATATAAATGTATAATATGAAGATATTTTTCCTAAAGAATTCATAAATAATTAAATAATATACCTGTTGTAAAATAGGAAATAATATATAAACACCAAGACCTCTGCATGCTGCTGCTCTAACACCTGGATTTTCAAATTTAGAAAATCCCAACAATGTTTTAGTACAAAAATTCCTTTTTTCTACCTATATAAAATTATAAATATCAGAGAAGGTTATACCATTATTAAATGATAATAAAAAGTATACTTACGGATAATGCTGAAAATACGTTAGATGGAATATGTGACATAAAATCACATGCTAAAGCTCTAACAGCATGACAATCATCAATTGAAGAACCTTGGATATGTTGAGTAATTACAGAATCCCACCATAGAAATACTTCCGGAATAATTTCTTTCTGAACCTCTTGAACCTAAATAGAATGATAAGTGAAAACGTCAATAGTTCCTAAGATTGATTAAAATAAAATATTTACCATAATTCTCTCATCATCCCCTCCAGTATTTCGATTACCCCCACCAAATGCTGCTTGTTCTTTGGCATATTCTACCAAAAATGTCATTGCAGCCGTTCTAATTTTTTCATCTTCACTTGCAAGATCAGCAATAATCAGAGGATTTATATGTTCCCATTTCAGACTACGAAAATAAATGAATAAATCGATAAATATCTTTTTGAAATAATTTTTTTAAATAAACATATTAACTACCTGACTATACTAAAATGAGTTCTTGCACAAGCGCATAAAATTCCCCACGATTCAATTCTTACAACAGGTGATTGTTCCTTACTTCCAATTACCAACACTAAATATGAAAGAAGATTCATTTCTTCATGATTTTGGAAAAATGGTAATTTTGTAAAATCGGCAGATGTTCTATTAATAACTTTATCTAATAACAATTTATCTACTTCTTTGATACATGCTTTGCAATCCATAATTGTTGATACCAAAACCATAGTGGCAAGTCTAACGGCATTATCTGTAAATTTCATTTAAATTAATTTCATAGTTTAAATAAGTTGCGTTTGTAATTCGTCACATACCATTATGTACCAAGAAATTTGCAGTTGTGTGATAAGTGCGAGATAGATAGTTTGAAGATAACCTATCATACGCTGCATTATTCACTAAAACGTTGCAACACTTATATTGAAAAATTAAATTAATAATAGAAAATGAATTAATAACACTATTTCTATATTACATACTTTTAATAACTGAGCTAAAACAGTAATATGATCCTCTCTCAAAATAACTTGACATAGTCCAGCATGAAGTTCTCGTACAATTGTTCCCAATTTCGCAGATAATGAAGTGAAAGAAGTTTTAACCTCTCTAAAGTAATGAAAAAATTAATTCGTATCTAAAGAAAATAAGTTATTCTAACATAAACCAATACTCAACCGATCATCTGCAGCGGCTAAATACTGCTTTGAGCCATCAATCATTGTACTGATTATGGAACAAGCAAGTATACGAACTGTATGTATAGGTTCACATGCAATTATAGTAAATAATGACGGAGAAGATGTCTCAGTAGGTTCTGTATAGGGAAAAAAATGACTCCAATATTGATATAACTTCTTTGGTGAAGCCTACGAAAAAGAATACATATATATTAACAAGACAAATAATTTGTCGTCAAGTGATAAGATTAAAAAATCTTACCCTCGCAATGCTCTGCAAGCATCCCAAAGCATTTGCTCGAATTCGAGAATCTTCGTTTCTAAAAAAAAAAAATATCCTGTGAAATAATATCCCTACAATTTTCTATTAAGTCGATTATTGTTTTTTACCTTTTGCGAAGGGACTGCGAATATTCTCCATCAGATATTTCTGAATCGGAGCTTAACCATGAACGTCCAATAGATCTCATTCGACTGTGCTTTCTTGAGTGTTTCTGATTTGACGGTCCAGAGTTACGTACACTTTTACCTGCTTCTATTCGAGACCGGTCTATATTAATAAAAAAAAAATTTTAATAAATTAATGATTTAGTCTTTCTTTAATATTCGTTATCAGTAAAACAAATATATATAATTTGATTTGATTTTGATATTATTACCTATGGATACCTGAAGTTTTTTAATATCATCAATATTATAAAAAACATATTTCCTAATTATTTCTATAGTTGATCCAAAAGGTTCAGCCAACACATTTTTATCTTCTATTACAACAAATTGTAAAGCTCTAAATGTGCTACTTATAATCTGAAAAAAATATTTAGGTTAAAATCAAAAATGTCTTTTATGTGTATAAAGAATATCATTTTAAAGTCAATATTTATAAATACTTTGAGATAAGCTGCTTCATCATCAGAAGGATTTGGTGAGTTTAGATTTGTCAAGAGTAATTCATAAACATCTTTATATTTTCCTTGAAACTTATTTCCTGTACGATAGCATAAATTGCCTAAACAATTTATTGACATTCGTCTAGTTTCTAAGTTTCTATTAACTTCTCTGGCAAGTGGTAAAAGAATATTTAAAAGTTGTTTATGTAACTATAATGTACAATTTTGTTAGTTAGAGTGAGATAAAATAATAGTAATAATAAAATTAAAAAATATGAGTTACCTTTTGACAATTCTGTCCATTTTCATATAAAACTTGACTTATTGCTCTCAATATATCAACCGCATAAACTGTTTGGGTAGTATTATTAAAAGATTGGATCAAAAATAAAAGTACAATTTCCAAGGGTGGTTGTTCTGAAGTTGTACTATTAAGTTGAACCTAATTAAAATAAATTAAGAAATAAATAACTTAAAGATAAATGAAAAAAAAAAAACAATTCATTATAAATAAATTTCTTATACCAAGTGTTTATTACAGAAATTAAAAATAATTCTACTGAATCTTGTAGCTAAAATTTCTTCAGAAGGATTAACTGTACGACAACCAGCAATTAAAAGTTCTAATAAGTCTTCAGTAAAAGTATTATTTGTATTAAAATTTGTTGATAGTAATATTTCTACAATTTGGTCTAAACTTGGCGGTGATGCTTTCGAATCTGATGGATAATTTGCTCTTAAAACTTTTTTTGCTATATCATTAAATGAATTTGATGTATTAGATATATTATTAATGTTATTAGCAGCAGAGACACCGTTAACGACTGTTGAAGTTGTCATATTTACTGTTTTAACTTGTGTGAATTTTTCAGAGAAAAAAAATTCGAGAAAATATATCTATTTAAATTAATACTCAAATAGGCAAGAAAATTAGTGTAACAGAACCATAACAATATATTTCATTCTTTTGAAATCTAAAATGAAAATCCTTTTTTTTTAATCTATTCTTTTTTATCGAATAATGAAAAAGATAACGTCATCACAGTATCACCAAAAAGTAATTTTTGAGCAAAACCATCAGTTTAGCCAGCAAAATTTGACCGGAATTACAACTCAAGCTCCAGCAATTCAAAATTCAATCTAATTCATTCCCCTTTCTATTCCTATCGATTACCAAATTATTCTTATCATATCAGACATAAGTATGAGCTTCTCATGCGAAATTTTAATTTTTACATTAAGAGAAACGAGACTTCAATTTACGTGATATTTATTTTTATAATATCACTTCGTAAAGCGAAATATCACTTTTGGTATGAAGTATCACTTTTTTAGAATATCCGATTTTGTCAATGACAATCCGATATAAAAAAGGGTGCAATTGCTGGAATTTTTAAACAATTTCTTCCCTATTTTTAAAAAAATAAAAAATTAAGTTAATAAATAAATAAAGATGACTTCAAAAGTTAATTCAAGATTATTTCAAGAATTGACAAATGATTTAATAAATTTACTTGAAAATGATGATGAACATGATGTTATTATTGAAGCAGGTGAGGGAGAAAATACACGAAAATTTAAAGCTCATTATTATATTTTAAGAATGAGATCACCGTATTTTCGTCAAGCATTATCAAGTAGATGGGCAATTAAAGAAGATGGAAAATATATTTTTAAGAAACCTAATATCACTCCAGAAACATTCGATACCATTCTAAGGTAAATTAAAAATGGATTTTTTTTCGTCATTAAATGCAACTTTTTTTTTTTTAAAAAAAAAATGGCACCTTAAATATAAACTAAATTATAGGTATATTTATGCATCAACAATTGATGTAGAAAAACTTAATGAAGTTCAAATTGTAAGTGCTTTAGGAGCAGCAGATGAATTATGTCTTAACATTTTAGTTGAGGTCTTACAAGGAGAATTATTAGAAAGAAAATATTTATGGATGGGTAAACAATCTGTATTAATTTATAATGCAGGACAAAAATATCCAACATGTACAACACTTGCTGAAACAATGGAAGAAGCACTTTATCAGGAACCAGAGTTATTATTAAAATCTGAAGATTTTACAGCATTAGAAGAAGATACTGTTATATGGCTTTTACAAAGAGATGATCTTGGTATGGGCGAGTTAGAACTTTGGAAGCGTATTGTACAATGGGGCATAGGACAACTAAAAACAACCATAATGATACCTGACGTTGCAAGATGGCCTGATGAAGATTGTGTTGGATTAGAAATAGTTTTACGTCCATTAATTCCTTATATTAGATGGAGTAATATGTCTCCTGTTGATTTTGAAAGACAAGTTCATGCTTATAAAAGGATTTTACCTCAAAAAATGTATACTCCTAATACTAAGCCAATGTATGTAATAACAAAAGAATATACTCATTATCATGCAAGAATTCAATCAGTTCTTATTAAGCCTTCTCATGCAGCCAAAATTGCAAGTTGGATTGATAGATTAGATTCAAATGATCAGAATTCATTTTACACGCCGTCAAATATACCATATTATTTCAAACTTGTTGTACGCGGAAGTCGTGATCAAGAATTTCGTCAAACTACTTTAACAAGTAATCAAGCTATTGTATTAATCAAACCTGCTAACTCAGATGAAATACTTGGTGGTTATAATCCTTTAACTTGGAGTAAAAAATCCATTTCTTCAAATAAAGATCAACAAGATAATTCTCCTCTCAAAGATAGTTATATTTTTAGTTTAAAAAAGGATCCTGGTGAAGAAGATGTTTTAAGTAGAGTAATTGATCCGAAAGATTCTATTTATTGTAATGTTTATTGTTCTCCCGTATTTGGCAAAGGTGATTTATTCCCTAAAGGTCATTTTGAAATTGGTCAGCCTTGTGGATGCAAACAAACTAGTTATGAAAAACCATTACGTACAAGTACTGAACAATTTTCTATTGAAGAATTTGAAGTTTTTCAGGTTATTAAAAAACAGGAGAGACATAACGTTTGATTTAGTTATGGTAACTTATTATTAATTTACATTGTAAATTAGATTTCATATCAATTTTGATAAAATTTTTGAATAAATTCATTATTTTTAATATAAAAAAAAATGGAAAACGATATTTTAATTGTTAAATCGAATATTTCTCGATCAAAAAACTTCCTTTTATATAGTAAAAGGAAATAAAAAAAAAAAATGTCTAGATTTCAACAACTCCATTTACCCAATTATTTTCCAATTCTTTTCTAACGATTTTAACAATTTCGACAAATCTATCCTCTAATCTTTTAGCCAGCATTCCTAATTCATTCCAATCGCCAAAAGCATTATCAAATGACATCTCATTTTTCTCTTCATGCATATTCATACCTTCTTGGTTAGCTTTAGAATTAATATCATTTGGTTTTTCATCAAGCATTTTAGTTAATATATCATAATCTTCTTTTATAAGATTTAATTGATTGGTTAAATCAACTGATATTATAGGTTTTTCTTAATAGTTTTAAGAATCATAGTTGTGTAAGTTTGATATTTTAAATAAAAAGGAATTAAATTTAATTTACGAATAACTTACCGGAATGATTATTAGTTATCCTGGAGACTAATTCAACTGAGTCAACGGAATCATCCTTTTGAACTTCAATACAAAAATCTTGTAATCTTGATAATAACGCTTCTTCAACAAGTAACAATACTTCGGGTGTACGACATGTAATTTTTATTTGGACGGGAATCGAATTAATCGGAATTTTATTCTCGCATTCTATCGGATTTACTATATAAGAGAATTTAAGGTAAAATAATTTCAAGATTTTCATAAAAAAAAAATTTTCTCCAGCTTACATTTTTTCAAATTCAATATTACAGGTTCTAGGCTTATTGATGTTGTAAATATTGCATAATCAACAGATTTAATTATCTCTTTTAACTCATCTCTAAGTTGGAATATAAATTGTAAGTCGATTATTTACTGATGATATCTCAAAAATGAAAGTAATAAAATATAATTTACGTTTCAACGTTTTCTCCTAATAACATTGCTAAAAATCGTTTCCAAGCTTCGTCATCATTAATTAAAATATTATTATTATCTTCTAAATCGATTGTTTCTACAATATCACTTGATCTCAATAAAAATTTTATAAATGATGAATTAATGTTTAATGAGGAAATAAAATCCGAATAAGGTTTAGTTTTCTATGTATATATATATAAATGAGAAAAAATTAAACGATCAGAATTACAACAATAGAAGCAACAACAAAAAAAATCCTTTACCTCAGATCCTTTATTTAATTTATTTATTAAATTTTCAATAGATCTCCTAAAATCATTTTTTGTGGCAAAAAAATCACTATCAAATGGTGTGATAAAATCAGGCAAAGAAGGATATACTGTAAAATGACGCTCTTCTTGTAATCTTTGTAACACGTGTTGAGAACATGGTTTTATAAAATCCAATATGTCATATTGCAAATTCATCAAGGGAAAATATGTCGCTTGCGCTAATTTTTTTAAAAAAAAAAAATTATTAGAAGAGTTGTTATTTATTCGAATTCTATGATTTTTTATACTATATTTACGTTTATATTGAGAGTCGTTTGTATGATCTATTGGTGATGGAGGTGCAAAACACAATGCAAGTTTAATGAAAATTGGAAAATGTAAAAATCGTAAATTTATTTCAATATCTCGTTCCCTACAGAAAAAACAAATTAAAATTCTAATAAATATCGCAATAAAAATGAAGAGAATATTTGTTTTTACCACGTAGTAGTCATATCCAATAATGACACAGAATAACATAAATTCTCTCGCTTAGTTTTTTCATTATTTGAAGAATGAAAAGATCTATTATTTGTCATAGTAACAAGTACTACAAAGAATCTTAAAATTAAGGACATTCATATTATTACTTAGACTTTAAAATATGTTCTTATTTATTTAAGGATACATGACCACCATTTTGACCAATCAATTCCAATCCTACTTGTTAAGCGAATTCTTAAAAATATCCTTTGCGTAATGCTTCCATTCATAGAACATGGCAGAGTTATCGGAAAACATTCAACATTTAATGGAGAATTATTTTTATCCAATTGTCCGGCTTCGCGTTTTTTATAAACACGTTGTAATTCCTGAACGACTTCATTACGAGCGATAATCGCAGGATTCAATTCCTGATATGAATGAAGCAAATTACAAACCAAAATATCAAACAATTACGTTTTCTTCCGAATTCGTACCTCATTAATTTTGTCCAATATTGCTTGTTTAGATGTCAATTCTTTGATAATAGTCGTTTGTTTTTGAATTTCATTCTTCAGTTGTTCAACACTCATCATATGCTTTGGAGTTTGATCGCTAAAATAAAAAAAGATATGTAAATATCTTCTAATTTTGCAATTTTACAAAAATTGCTTTTGTATGGACCTTGTAAGCGAAAATTGAGAGCGAATTAATCTTCCATTGACTGTCAAAGCATAAAATATTCCATCAGATGAATTTTGTTCTGAAGTAATATAATGGCACAACCTAACGGTTCCTTTTGGAAAAATTACGGGAATTGTGTGTAAAGAAACAAGCTTTCCTATAATAAAATAATTTTTAATTTTTTAATAAATAAATATTCATGTTCGTAATAATTCATCCTTTTTATAAAGTTCTTATACCATCTGAAAACATATTTCTATCAAAATTTATGACAATTATTCGACCTTCTCCAGCTGTTACTACCAACCGATTCTACGAATAACGAAAATAATTAGATCTTTGTTCAAATTATTTTTAATTTCTTTTGAAGTAACACCTTATAGACAAAGGACGAATGAACTGGATTGGGGACATAGTATTCTTTATAACACAAAGTCAGAGATGAATTACTATCATATCTAGCACTTGATAATGATATCGTTCCTTTCGCACTTTAAGATAAAGGAGAAATTAGCTAAGGTTTTATTATTAATTTGAATAGTTGTATACATACCCAATTAAAAGCAGAGCATTGTGAATATTACTCAAATTAGGTTTAGGTCGAAGCAAAGTAGATTCAAATTTGGTTCTTTCAGGGTCTTCATGTTTTAAATATAATGTATAAATGGCTTGAATAGGTTGCTATAAATTTTAATAAAAATTTTTAGTGAACAAATATGAATGAAGATGATGCAATTTCTTTCCTTTTTTACCTACTTACTTTTAGCGAAGTAACTGTGTCTGATTCAACCTCACCTTTACAAAAATAATGAAATGATACGATGCCACTTGAATGGCCAGTTATTAAGAGATCTGTTTCATAACTAAATATTTTTTTTTTTTTTGAATAAATGAAAGTTAAAAATTGAAAATACAAAAATAAGATAAATCAAAATTACTGTGTGGATCTAAATATAGCCTCGGCCAATTCTTTTGAAATAAGTGTAATATTTGATGGCCTTTTGACTGATTCTTTTGTTGAATCATGAATACGAAGTGATTTCATAAATTATGTTAAGGATAATTAATAATAAACATATATTCAAAGAACAAATATATTATAAAGGATATCATTCAAAAAACATGTAGCATTTTTTGTATCTTCAATATCATTGAATGGAATAAATAAACTATTTTCTGATATTATTCTATCAATTAATGATAGAAATCCAATTTCTCCATCTTTTGTTCTAAGTAAAATTCCATCATCATTAAATAAATTACAAGGGAATAATGAACAAAGTCCTTCTTTTGAGAAAATTAAATATTCACTTCCGACAGTAAATACAGGAGGCGGGACAAACAAACAATAACTGTTCTTATTTGGCTGATAAATATTTTGTGAAGAAAATTTTGATGATGTACTGCCAACTTCATTAATTTTCCTGATTTGTCTTAATTGTGTTGGCAACGCTTCTTTGTTATTTTGATGAGAATCAAAATCCCTGATACAAAAGTTTTTAAATTATTCTTTTATTTTAAAAAGATTACAAAAATGTTATGCCAAACGAACCTCTTATTTCTTTGAACATTAGATTGGATTCTCCATATGGATCCATCTTTTGTTAAAACCAAAAAGGATATGTTAACACTTGATTTTGCAGGAGAGTTATACAAAAAATCTTGACATATATCAATTGGGTCAAAAGGAAATTTCCAAATTTCTTTGAGAGTCTCTTTATGAAATACATGAATTTTAAATGGAATTATTTTAATAACTATCCAATCTTGATTTATTCCTATATGTTTTATTATAACATTGATTAAAGGTCTAGGTAAATTGTAAATATTAAGAATTTTCGTATCCATTAGAATAGATTACACTCATTACAGTAAGGTTTGGAAAGAAATCGTCATTATATATAAAAATTTTTTAAAAAGAGACGTGCCGATTAACTTAAAGAGGAAATTTAAAAGGTGCTAATGTATTAAAAAGTAAACATTCATAATGTAAAATCATACACCCAAGGTATTCAGATCGATCTTGATAAGTCAGGTGATTGTTCAGCAATAAAAATAATGCAGTATATGTCTATCAAGAAAGTAGAAACACACCTATTAAGATCATTAATCAAAGTCTTGGATGTTTCGAGAATTTGATCGGCAAATGATGTTGGTAAAGGAAATAACGCGATAGATATTTATCAACAAAAAAAAAACTGAGCATAATTGTTTACATTTCATATTGGATTAATTGTTATAAAAAAAAAAATTACAACAATGCTAAAGCAATTAAACAATTAATAGAATTGATCTTTAATATAGTAATGATCGAAAAGTGGACTTCTCAAAAATTAAAGGATTGCATGTTTAAATGCGAGCGAAAATAGAAATTATATTGTAAGGGAGAAGATAAGTCAATAAGGTTGGACGTAAGTATGCGAATAATAATAAATCATGAGAATTTTTAGAACTTTATATTGTTTATAGCAAAAATTTCATCACTTTAAAGCTAAATAATTAAATTTTATAAAGTAATATTAAAAGTAGTGTAATATACACTACCCTCCCAAAAGTATCCGGTCAAATAATAAAGATTATATTTTTATTAATAATAATTAGTATTTAGTTGGCCATCCATTGTTTTTAATGCATGCTTCAATTCGACGTAGCATGCTCTCAATTAAATTAATATAAGTTTCGGATGGAATTCTTTCCCACTCTTCTTTTAGCTGTTAATCCAGTCGTGTCCTAAAATTTCCAAAAAGTACTATTACAGACACGATTGTTCGATACAAGAATTTTAATTCTGATAGCTTCATGTTCTTTCTAAAGGCCAATAATTTGCTCAAAACTCACTCAACTCACGAGTTTTTCCCATTTTAAAATAGCCAAGTGGCGTAGTGAACAAAAAAAGTAAAGATCGTCATTGGCAAAATTGAGGCGTTATTATTTGTTTTAATCGCCAAATCTGGTACATGCATCGTAACACAATAAAAATACATCCATTTTAATCTTGAGAATTAGGGGAATTGGTTTTTTTAAAAAAAAATGATAATTTATATATTCAATTTTGAGAAAATCGAAAAGAGCTTGACCGGATACTTTTTGGAGGGTAGTGTAAGTTTTTTTTGGAAACAACATAGGGTGGATTCACAAATTCAATCGGATTGGATTAGATTGGATTTGCTGGAGAGTGCATTTGCGATTCTGCAAAAAAAAAGAAATTTCTTTTGCGGAATTTTATTCAATTAGAAATCCAAATATATGTGGGAGCACTCCCAAATTCCGACCCATATTCACAATTAAAAATTCGATTTGGATTGGATTTTACTATTAAATCCTTTCTTAAACAATAATGTAATACAAAATCCATAATTCAAATTAATTATAGATTATATGAGAATAGGGGCAAGGGGCAACATATTAGTGATACACAGATATTAAACCGGATTCAATTCGGAAGCAAAAAAACGAATGTCATTATTGGGTATTTTACGGATTTATGATATGCAAGTCATTATAATATTATTTGTTATTATATGAGAAAGTTCTATACTCAAATATTAAAAATTCTTATAATAATTTATAGTTACGATCCAAACTAATTTTTTTTTTTTATTTTTAAAAAATCCTTTAAAATACTTTGCAATAATATAAATAAAATAATAAATAAATATACATATAAATAAAAAATTATTTTTTTTTTAGATTTTATATTTTTTGTTGATATTTATGTTCTGAAAATAAAAGCCAATAAGTTTATTCTTATTCTTTTCACTTAAAATTTAAAATATTAATTGTCTGTTGATCCATACTTATTGGAACCATCCATCCTTTGTGCAGCTTGATAAGATGAAGATTCAGCCCTACCATCGGTAAGATCTTCCCTTGATAATAACTTTTGTTCATCAAGAATAATCTATAAAGAAAAAAGTTAATTTTACTTATGTAATACAATAAACATAAATCCAAATTTAAATATAACTTTACATCAGCAGTCCATAATGCGGCGCCCACAACATTTGTCCAAAGGAATACGAGATTTGCAATTGGTATCAATTCAAGAGCTACAGCAACGAATCCAAACATTGAATAATCACCACGATTCTTCCAGGCAAATTTAAGAGATTGTTTGGCTGACCATTCTTTAATCTCTACGTGATAATGTATCTGATGTCCCCATGCCATTACCCATCCATTAATATAGCAATAAATTAGTGTACCGAATAGAGGAATTGCGTGTAAAGGCATGGTAATTATAAGCGCAATAATCTAATAATAATAATAATAATTATAATAATAATAAAAATATAAGAAATTTCTTTAAAAAACAATAATAAATAAAATTATTTTTATTTACCTGAACAACAACAATAGTATACATTGCGGAAATTCCTGAACAAAAGCCACGACAACAGCCTTCTGAAGTATTTTTTTGTTTTTCAAGTACATAACCTAAACCCTTTAATTTTAAAACTTCATCAAATAAAGCATCTTGCCATATTGGTGTTATTATTAAATAAAATATTATAGTAATAACTCCTGCTTCTAATATACAAAATATAACAGACACCGTCCAAGCAAGCCATACTGGGCAACCAGCAACAATAAGTGCATTAGCTTGAAGTGATAATAAAAAACCAAAAGTTAAAAATATAGCAAGTAAAGCTACAACTAATGTTAAAAATAAGACAAAAATGATTTTTCGGATCAAAATCCAATTTGAAAGAAAGAAAAATATCCCCTTAATTGGGTAAGCTGAAGGTGCTGACATTTTGAAAAGTAGAGAGAATTTTGAATCAGGATGCTGGAAGACTATAATTAAAAAGGGGGTATCATATGATATACGATATATGGTACAAATCTAAAAATACGTCATTTACGGTAATTTTTCAGCCTTTTAGGAAATATAAAATTATAAGCATAATTCTGGTAGGCATTAAAATTTACTAATTTCCCAAAAAAGGAAATATGTAACATGGCTGTCGCCACTTAAAATTAAGTACTGTACGATCAAAATGAACAGAACTATAGAAATATAGAATAATTCAATTCATTTTTTTTTTAAAAGAAGATAATATCAAATCACGGGATAATTGACCTTTCGCCGCGACAATTATTACCGTTATTACTATAAAAGTACTCTTCGAGAAATCACAAAAAAAAAGCAACATGTGATATTTTATATAGACGCGGGGATTGTTTTAAAGATCAAATAGTTATGCGTGATGACATCAAATGTATGAAATGTATGAAGAAAAACACAATATCGTGATCATCTAATTCTTATCTTATCATGATAACCTAAGCGATTTTGAAAGGTTCCATTAAATTCTTATTTTGCTAAAGGATTTACGTACAAAATACACGTGACAAATGAATTCTTACTTTTTATGTAACTTTATTAATTTTCTTAGTTAGAAATAAAGCCACTTTACTAAATTTAATTTCTTTTTTTGTATTTAAACAATTTCCAATAGTTAATATGCGTCACGTGTTAATGCATATAAAATGGGATCAACAGTATTTTATACATATACATCGAGACTAATTGTTTTTTAACCACATTGTTGATATGCTGACCAAGAATTAAATGAGCTGACTAGAATTATCAAATATATTAGATATAATTGGAATCCAATGGTGCATAATAATATAATATAACTAGATTGTCAGAAATTAACTAAATTGTCGGCTTTTTCCTAGTTGGTCTAAAAAAAGCTGCTTGTATGACATATATGACGCACTAAAGAGACCCGATGGCGTTTATGTCTCAATTTTTATTATTTGCCATCGAAGACGTACCTATGTATCGGACATTAAACCTCTTGCTGCGGATAATCCTAAAGCATATAACAAATATCCGCCATCTATCTAAATTAGATAATTAAATTACATAAAAAGATTTCATCAATAATTACCAATTTCTTGAAAAAAAAAAAAAAAAAAAATTGACATGTATCATAACAGGCAATAATCCTAAGCTTGTGTAAAGGGTCTTGTTTGGTCGGCTGACTTTGAGCGACAAGGCTTCGGCGCACTTAGCCGTAAAAGTGTCATTGACATTTGAAGTTTTACAAACAAATAATTAAAAAGTTTTTTTTTTTATGTACTCCTTGAAAGGTTAAGTAGGTTGTGGAGTATTCGTGTGACATTTTGTTCCAAATCCGATTTTCAGCTGAAATTTACATATAGCAAATATGTAGTATTACAATTAACACGTCAGGTGGACAAAAAGGCGTTGTATTTCTTCGCTACCCTCTTTGTGATCACATAAAGTAAATCACTAAATAAAAATAAGTCGTTCTCGTTTTTTCTTTTAAATTCTCGAATTTATAATGATTATTAACAGATATGAAATAATAAATAATTATGAAATATGCAGTTTAATAATGAAATAAATTTGAAATACTTTCTTACAATGGATTCTTTAGCGCGCAGATTGATTAATATCTAAATTTCATCTTATCTAAGGGTTTTTTTCGTAATCATTAGCAAATCTAGTTTAGGGAAAGTAGAATTTTGGATTTATTTATCAACAGATAATCAAAAGTTGATGTGATAATAAAGTAAATTCTAAGTTACGGAAAATTACTTGTGACGTTTAAAAAGTTGGTGTGACAATGACGCATTAACCTTGTACATAATGTGTCACCGCATCATAGTAACTAATATAACTAATAAAAATCGAGTAAACTTAATTTCAATGTATGATGTATGATGCATTGACACTTGTACTAATTATAGACTAAATTTCATTATTTCATTTTTTCATTTAAATAGTAGGATTTTATAGATTTTATATATAAAAAAAATTTTCATTTAAATACAAAAAAATTGTAAATTCCGTATTTTTCAATTATTTTTATTTTAAAATTTTTTTTTAACATAATTAAAAACATAGCTTTAAAAAATCTTGTTTCTGTTGTCATCCACTGCACAAAAAAAAAAAAGAGAAAAAAAAAAGAAAAGAATTTCACTGGTTTCTTATCCTTTCTCTTTATTTATATAAAATACATCCTTTCCGTCTCCATTTTTTTCTCTCTGTCTTTGTTTGTGACCATAAGATCTAAATTTCCTACTCTTTATTATCATTTCCTTTATATCTTACATTACATCATTTATTATAATACATATATATATATAAGTAAATAAATAAATATATATATATATATACACATATTAACTTCTTTTTATGATAATGAGTCATTTGCTTCAAGAAAAAATTATCCAATTCAATGTATTATTTAAGGAATCTGAAACTGTAATTGATGACTTACAAACCGCTCTTGCTGATTTAATTCCGGAACTTCAACAAGAATTTGGCTTAGATTTTGTTCAAGTTGAACGTATCAGGCAATATCTTGATGACAGAGGTATATACATTGATTTTTTTTTATTGATATATTTATCGATCGTATAATTAAAATTATTTATTCCTTACAATTTAGGAACTCTTTTTCGTTTCCTCAGACGAGCTGGATTCGATTTTGATGTTGCCTTGAAAGCCCTCATCTCTGATTTAAGATGGCGTATAGAACATAATGTTGATTCCATCACCCTCGCTGACGTTCATCCATTATTTATTGAAAAAGGACTATTTTTTTTCCATAAAACTGATAAATTTGGTCGTCCTTGCGCGGTAGTCAATCTGCGTGAATACAAACGTGAGGATGGAGCGCCTACTATTGATGAAGTGAAAAAATTTATTATTTATAATGCTGAAGTAGCCAGAAGATTGTTATTAGACAAAACTATGAATTCAAGAGATGGACCGGTTCTGCAATACGTCATCCTGTTGGATTTGAAAGGAGCTGGTGTTTCCACTCTGGTAAATTCCTCAATATTTCCTCAATGAAATTTTTGATCGACATACTTATTTTTTTTTAATATTTAGGATGTGGAATTGGTCCCATTTACGATCGACATTATGAGGCACCATTTTCCTGGTTCCGCGGGTGCAAGTATGTATTTTACCGAATTTTTATCAATTTGGATACTCGGATATTTATTTATAATATTGGCGATCTTCCATATTTAATAGTATTCGTCTTGAATTATGGATGGATGTACTCTGGCATTTGGCAAATTTTAAAACGTATTCTTCCCGAAGAATCCTTAAACCGAATCTTTTTTCCTTCAGAACAAGAACTTTGGAACTATTTTGATGAAGAAAATGTACTTACAGGTATGTTACTATTATGTTTATTATACCGCGTTTCGGACGATTGTTTATCTTATAGAAATTTAACACCAAATAAATTTTTTTTTTCTTTCTTTAGAACAAGGAGGGAAGGATACTTATGAATATGATGCTGATACTTGTGAGGCATACCAAATTTATGGAAGTCCGTCACCTATTTTGAAACTACCGAAACCCCTAAGCAGAGCAACATCGTATGATTCCTTGAGTTCAATACACGATATATTCTACTCTGCCCACAATACCCCATTCCACAGTCGGCCGTCTACTCCATTTTTTAGCAGACCAGCAACTCCAATTTCCAGCCGGCCCTCTACCCCGTACCCGAGCCGACCTGCATCGCCCGCAGCGGATCACGTGGTTCCGAATTGGTTAAAAATGACTCCACGTTCACGCCATAATCCTTTCCATATAACCCCTATCGACAATAATATTAATAAAAACAATAATGTTATTATATCTCCAAATCCTTTAAAACCAATGTCTATCTCAGCTTCTCCGATGGCATCTCCTAATCTTGCTTTCCATCAGGAAGAGCCCGCATTAACGTCGCATAAATCTATGACACCTATAAATAACATATCCACTGAAAATAAAGACAACAATGATCATCATGATAACCTTTACCATTATAATCGCCATAATCAACTTATTGGACAACCATTACATCATCATCCAGTTGCACGCGGATCGAGATTAAAATTATATTTTACAAGATTATTGAGAAAATTTATTGCACGAAGCAGAGTATCAGGATTTTTATATTATCTAGTAATGGTGGTTTTATTCCGCGGTGGCTTAATGAATGAATTCTTGAAATTAGTTACACAGCAAGTAAGCATGCAATTGGGCTGGAGTGCAAGCACCACTACAGCGTTAACAACTGCAATTCTATCAACTGCACTGAGTGGACGAGCGGGTAACCGCTTGTTAGGACGTAACTGATGAATTGTAATGTATTCAATATGAAAGGACTTTAGGAGATGTATTTATTTATTTTAATATTTTTCACGGTTGAAAATTTCAGAATTAAGCAATTACATGATATTTGGAATTGAAAGAAAGTTTGGAATTTGTCTAAGTGAGAAAGAAATATGATGAATTTAATATTATCAGCAAAATTTGCAACGTTGCATTTTATGATTATTAATTATCTATATGGATTAGCTTACAAGCAACCAAGAACTGACAATTTTATAAAAAAATACATAAAGAAATACAAATATAGACAAAAAATTGTAAACAAACCTAATATAAATATAGCATTTAAAGACTTTTTTTTTTAAAAAAAAAATTAAATTACTTATATAGCAATAATTAAAAATTGTCAGAAAAAGTATAGTATAATAATAATATAGCATTTCTCCCTTATTACCCGGTAAATTTTACCTCTTTTTACATGTAATATATATAGTCTTTGAAATAAAAGAAAAACTTACTAAGTTTATAATAATCGGTATCATTAACAAATATTGTTTATGATTCCCGATTTCTTATAATAATAAATTTATGAAACAAAAAAAAAAAATTCTTTTCATTATGAAGTGAATATTGAATAGTCACGACTTTTTCTGAGAACATAATTTGAATTTTTCTCGCTCTATTAAGAATTTTGATCGCATTTTAAATAATTTAAAGAGATTTCATTTCTATAAAAAAAAGTTGTTCATTATAGAACTAATTTTCGTTGCAAATCTATTCTTCGTCTAAATTTAGCATACTGCGGCCAGTCGTTGTGATCACTTGATCTCTACAAGTTACGAATGAGAAATTTCTTCATAAATATCATATTCATGCGAATTTAAAGAATTATTAATGACTGAAATTAATTTAGACATGCATGGTTAATTAAGTTTTAGATTGAGATAAATTTGTCATTAAAGAGAGGTGTAAAATATAATGTTATATATTACTAGTCATGATTGCAACAAATAACGGACATAATAATATAAGCTCAGATTAATTAAGCTATTTCTTGGCGTTCCCATCTAAAATTTTCTCTCTCTTTTTTTTTTTTTGCTTGCAATTTGTTAAAATAATGCCACCTCAACCGTTACAATACGCTCATTTGACAGAAAGTAATTTAAAAGAACATACAAAGTCCTTCGTGGATAGGATTGCCCTCCAAGAACAATTTATTTTAGACTATGTTTTGGAACAGCAAATAATAAATAATGAAAAATCGCAAAAATCAGAAAAAAGTACTTTCTATTTTTATTATTTATACACATTATTATTCCACTTAATCGATTTAAATTGTATTTAAATAGAACATTCGCTGTCTTCAGATTCGGAAAAAAGCAAAATTTCATCATCAGGTCATTCCCGATATTCCATTGAACATGATCTACCATCAATAAATGGTTCGCTCCTTATATCGAGAAATCAATTGCGAAAATCAAAGCTATCTGAAATCAAAGAATCCGAACCACAGAATAGTAAAAAGATATTCTCTAAAAAGGACCGAATTGGGAGTACGTTATTATTTGAAAAACTCCGGGATAAACCTTTGAAGGATAAGTCTCTCAATATCGATCATTGCAATCAAAAAAACCGTAAGTCCTCTAAAAAGGAAAAGAATATCTCAAAGGCGGATCGTCGTAAAAGTTGTAAAAGAGTTGATTCTTTGCTTGCTAGCTCACAAATAATGCAGGTTCGAATACATGAAATAAATGATTTATTTATAAAAATACTACGATTTTACATATTATTATATATTTTATTGAACCAGCAGAATTGGTCTTCGGATAAACTTGGAACAAATCGCGTAACTGTAATTACATTAATAATGACTTTTCTAAATTCGCTATATAAAAATTTCTTTTCATTTGACATCTTATTATATACAACTTTTCAGCTCCGCTCAGATAATAAAGCTGGACTTGGGATATTTAATAAAGGAAAGGCATCGGAAAAAATAAAGACCAAAGGAGGTAATTTAGAATAATTATTCTTTCCTTTTAATGAAAACAAATAAAGCGGTATCTTTTGTTAATTCGCTTATAGTTCCTGATTTGGTATTCTCTGAAATCGATTTTCTTAATTCGAACCCGTCCCGTAAACGAAGAAATCAAAATGAGGATAATTCAGGCCAAAAAAATGGTTCTCGTCGCAAAAGTGATCTACAAGACAAGACTCGAGATACGGATGAAACTTCATCTGTGCACGATTCCGCCTGTTGCAAGGATTACAGTACTTCCGCGAAAAAAAAGGTATTTTATTTATTTAAAAGTATTAAAGTATTTCATTACTAATTTATCCTATAAAGAAAAAAGAGAACCCGCATTCAATGAAGAATTTACCGGAAAAACGGAAAAAAATATCAAACAATAAACATTATAATAAGCCAAACAAATCAAACCAGCCACGAATAATTCGCGTAGAGTCAAAGGTAGCTTCTTTGTCAGAATCATTTCACGATTTATTGGACGAAAAGAGCATATCTTCAAATAATTGTAGCAACGCGTCATATAGTCTAGCTAATAAGAAAACTGGTTGTTCACCGGAATACAATCATGTTGATAAAATGTCCGAACTGCAAGACGAACAAAATATTATATCTTCACATTTTATTGATGAACAAAAAAAAGAGTCATCTAAATATACTTCTTCACACAGCGATATACATTCTTTGTCCAATAATAATGGATGTACAAATAGTCCTGAATCATTTCAAAAACGGCGCTCTCGAAAAGACAAGCTAGTTACATCATCTTACTTTGCTAGTAATAACATAAAATATAATCAGACTGAACGAGAAGATAATCCCTTTCTAAATCAAAGTGTCGAATCTTCACCAAAGCCCTGTTCGCCGGTTGTTGACACAAATAAACAAGGTATTTATCAAAAGGATTCTAAAGTTGAGGAAACTGCGCCTAAACATGAATATGAATCATTATCTGTACAAGAAAAGATGACAAATGATAATATGGAATTGGATAATGATTCAAAACGACTGCCAGTTGATGAAAGTATAAAAAATTTTCCAAATAATCGTGCAATACCTTCAGAAGAAAATGATAACAATCTTTGTAATGAGAGAATGGACATACATTTTGATCCAACTTGGATTAAACGAAAATCATTACTTTCGTCACAGTTGCAAAATCAACAAAATCAAAAAAATCAAAAAATATCTACTTCAGATAACAAAATTACAACATATCAAAGTCATCGACTTTCACATGCAGTTATTGCTGAAGGTGCAAAGATTGGACAATCATGTAAGCTTGCGAAAGAAGACTGTGGCAGCATCAACAATACTAATACCGAATTTGGAAATGAAATTGTAAAAAACGATGAAAAGATTCGACAAGAAATATTCGTAGAGAATACTAATTTGGAACATATGAATGTTAATTTCTTCAATTCCGAAAATGCAATTCAAAGTAATTGTCAAGAAGTCATCAGTAATGTAAATAATCGTTTCAACATGTGTCACGAAGATTGTAACCAAATTATATTTAGTGACTTGAATGGTTTTCAAGACAATAATCAATCTCTCTATAAAAGTCATTACGAAAGTAGTAATGATCTAACATACGGAGGTATAGATGATGAATTTTTTGCTCAAGAATTTGCGGTTGATAATCAAAATTTTCAAGGTTCTAATCTTTATTCGACGTTAGATAAGAATTTACCTTATGAAAATCAACATTGGATTCAGTCTCATATTGAACAAAACTTAATACCACAAACACCATCATTGATTCAAAATCAGTTTCTATGGCCTACAAATAATAAATCATCAAATTTAATTAATAAAGAATTAACACAAGTACCGGAGGTTCAGAATAACAAACAATCTTGGGAAGATGATTATAATACGCAGTATATTACTGCGGAATCTCTAGTATGTGACCATGATGACGATCCAATTGAAGACGAAACTGATAATGGAATAGCTCGCTTTGTCTGGAAGAAACATCGATTACATTGATTAATTTTTTGATTAATCATATTAATTATATGATAGTTATAATAAATCTTTGAACAAGTAGTTCGAAATAATATTTTGGCGCGTAAAATGGTAGTCCGAACTAAAAATTAACTAAAAATAACATAACTAAAAATAAATAAAAACAGATAAAAATAGATAAAATAAAATACTTCCACAAAAATTCTTAATAGGGCTGAAGAATAAATCTTTATCATCCTTTATCTATGTTTGGATTTACTGTATCAAGGAATAATAAAAATTTTTTTTTTTTACATCGTTTATTTTAAGAAATTAACGTGAAAATGTGAATAATGTTAGTTAGATAAAGCACAATGTTCTATTCAATCATAAACAAATAAATTGATTTTTGGGTTAGCATCCTTTTTTTTATTTCACTTTCGTCCGAAACGATAGAGAAGCAAAACGTTAAAGGCGATATTAATATAGCAAATTCAGATTTAAATGTCAGTATACTAATTGTTGGTATTGTAATAATTTTAAAACTCGAATTTGAGTGGTAACTATACATTATAAACATCTATAATGAATCGTTTAAAAAAAATTTTAGAACTGCATCAGTTAATTCACCCAATAAAGTATTTTAAATATTATCAGTTGAAAAATTTTTTGTTTCTTTTACCGTTAATCAAAGTAAGTCATATATTATTGCTAGTCAAAATTCCAAGGTATAATAATACCTGTTATATCTATTAAGATTCTGCATAAAATACATAGTCCGGTTACATTTATGCCAATCAAACACCACTTTACCATCATATTACATATTATGTATTAATTAAAACAATAAAATATTTTCAATTTCATCAACAGTTCCAAAAAAGTATTGGGAATTCATACTGATTTTGGATCTTTTTTATAGCATCATTTAGAAAAAGTTTATTAAACAGTAAAATAAGTTTAGTTTAATTTATTATTTTCAAAATTAAAAAAAAATAATTATTTAATATATATATTAATAGATTATTAAACAATAGAAATTAAAATATACTCTATATATTTATATAATTATATTTAAAAATTATTAATATACATATTAACAAAATAAATATATTCGTTAATGTTTTTAAAATATACAAAATAATAAAACTTTTGTAGTAATAAATTACCTAAATAATAATTTATATAGTAAATAATTGCTGGTTTTTAATGATTTATTGCCAATTTAAGTTATTATACAGAGAGAAATTTGTCATTATTTCTTCTATTGTTCATACTAGCAGTTGTAAATAACATTATTATAAAAATCTATAAATTCAGAAAAATTATTGATCCTTAGATTTCTTGGATGGCTTTTCCATTTCTTGTTCAGCTTTTCGTTTCAATCCAAATGTTACCTAAATGTAAAAAAAAAAAGATAAAATACAAATTAAAATTATTATTACAAACCAGGCAAAAAAAAAATTATATACCTTTTCTCTTTCAGGTGCATTCATACTTTGACCTGTTAATCCACCATTTACTGTAATAATACTGGAACTACTTATTGAGGCAGTTCCAGATGCCTTGGAAGATCCCGAGTGTTTTCCATTATTACCTAATGTCATGCTTGGAGGAACTACACTAAAAATATAAAAATATATAATAAGTAAAATTTTCAATTCATTTTAGCTTAATTAAAATAAATATTACGTACGCTCTATTACCAACAGACAATACAACATGTGCACTTCCACTAGCCTTTTGCCTCTCTTGCAAAGCCGTAGCCATATTCAATGGCGTATCAATACTACTCATAGCTTTAAGCTTACGTTCTTCTTCAAGCTTCTTGAGACGTTTTTCTGTTTTAGCTTTTCCAGAAGATTTTCCATGAAATTTATGTGATAATTGTCGAAATGCTTCTTTTGGTGTAAGTTGATTACCAAATTCATCAACATATTCCAAATTAATATCTGGTTTATAATCTTTGAACCTTGCTTCCATTTCTCGCAGATGCTCACGATCTCTATAACTACTTTCACTATCTCGACCACCGCCACGATATCCTTTTTCTTTTGCTTTTTGTTTTTCCTTTTCCCTTTCATTTTGTCTTTCTTGATCTTTTTTACGTTGTTCAGCAAGCCATTTTTGTCGCTCTCTTTGGATTCGTTCTTTTTCAAGCTGCTCTTCATTGGGTTTAATTGAAAAACCTATATAAAAATTAATTACATTTTAATGGAATATTATTATATTGCAAACCATTTAAATAGTTTGTTATTAAACATTACCTTTCTGTTGTAAAAGGGCTAATGTTGCGGCCATACCACTACTAACCAAAGGTTCTTCTTCAACTACGCCAGTCTAAATAAATAATAAATAAATAATTTGATAACTAGATTATAATTACTATTCTAATAAACTGACTTACTAATTTTGGTTCATCTTGAATATGAGCCATATCACTATCCTCTATATTTCCTGCCTCTTTCCAACCACCTTTTTTCTCTTCTGTAACTTCATCCATTACAACATCATATGTTTCAACTTCTTCTTTTTCTTGATCCACAGGTTCAGAATTAGATTGTTGATCTTGTATATCAAGTTCAGCTTCAACAGGTTTAGTTATTGTTGGAGCAACAGTAAGAGATCTAACAAATTCTGATGTATCAGAGATTACTAATCCTTCTCCAGGTGTCTCATTATCTTCATTTGTTTCATCTCTAGTTTCTGTCACTAATAAAACAAATCATATTAGTTTAACAAGCTTGAAAATTTATGTAAATGGAAATAGTAAACATACAAATTCTAGCAATCTCTTCAACATTTGTTTTTGTTACTTTTCTTGTTGCCATTTTTCTTGCTCTAGCTAAAGCCTGTTGGAGATCATCATCATCAACAAAACTAACATCATCAAAATTTTGTCTTCTAGCTTGGTTTGATGTTACTACAGAAGGTGAATTATCAATTTCCATTGTATTAGGATCATTTACTGTTTGTTCGTCTTCGTCATCAACAACCTTCTTCCTTACTTTCTTCTTCTTTTTAGTCTATTATGCATAAACTGATGTTAATTTTGGTTAATGAAATTTACAATTTAAAAAAAATAGTAACCAATCTTTTAAATCTAATTTTGTTGATTTAAAAATAAACAAAAAAAACCACATACCTTTGGTTTCTTGAAAGTTATTTCAGATTCTTCTTTAGTATAATAATCTTTAATTTCAATCATCTCTATATACAAAATGAACAAACTTTGTTTATTAATTGTAATCTAATATTATATAATTTTTCCAAAATAGCTAATAAAATGATATTACTATCATAAGACAAAGAAATTGATCTTGACTTTAAGTTCTCTGCTACTTTATTCCTTCGTTCATCTTCATCTAATTGAACAGTACCATCGTTTCCTAATTTAAAACCCTAGAACAATTATAAATAGAGATCAACATTAATAATAGAGATAATATAATCCATTATTAAATCATTAAATAAATTTACCATTCTCTTATTTCCTTCAATTTCCTCATCATAATGTGATAAGAAATTCTTTTTAGGTATTCCTCCTCCTCCAAAATTAAATTCTTCGTCATCATAACCAGTATAAATTGGTTTTTTCTTTTTATTTTCTAAATTCTTCTTAAGCTTTTGTTGTTCTTCAAGTTGTACTGAAACTAGCTGATCACCTTCCTCTACAAATAAAATGGTTAAATAAAAGGGTATAACAGAATTTAAATAACAAACACACATACCTTCATTTTCAAGAATGCTTGAGTCTTTTAAAACTAAAATGCGTTCTTCGCCGTCCTGAAAATCTGTAATATCATGAGCTACTTGCATTTTTTTTTGATTCAAAAAAAAAAAAGAAAAAGAGGTTTTATATACAGTATATTGTCAGATGATTGACTGATTATATAGCCAATTACTACTAAGACTTATGTAATCACAATAATGCCAAATTCGAAATAATATAATTTAAGTTAATACTAAATTATTAATAATATATTGTAATTTTAATTATTTCGTTATAATATACTCTTTTTTTTTAAAAGAAACCCCTATCGTAACACTGCTGGCGAAAAATCGATAGGTAATTTTTTAATTGCAGCTCCAAGTTTTAGATTGTATAATAACTTGTATAATCAGGGTATACAAGTGACCGATCCAATGTTTTGATAATAGAAAAGTTTTTATTTTATTTTATGGAATCTTTATTTTAAAACTTATTATGTGATTTAAATTACACGAGAAAAAAAAATCGCAATAGTATAAAGAATTGTTTCCAGGTATGGTAATTTTATATATCACTATAAATGATAACCTTTTTGTTTATTATTGGTAGGATTAAATAGTTTCTTTTCGTAGCTGCAGTTGAGTTGCAGCTTGATAACACATTATGTAAGTAAAATACTTTAATTCGCTAATAAAATAAATCGACATTTTTTTTTCAATTTGAAAGACTGGAAATCAAAATATTTTTGACTGCATGTACTTAGTGTTGGGAACATTTTTTATCATTTTTAAATACAACCTTTTTTTTAAAAAAAAAAAACCTTTCATTTATTCTAAGTGTTTTTTGTAATCACAAATTTCATTTAATAAAAATAATTAGAGGATAACATATTTTCGTTATTCTTCAAATGTGGTTGTGTATTTTACATAATCGAATCAATAACATTCTCTTAATCATGTGATGCGGAAGGAACGTTATTAGGTTAAGATCAAGGGTGCTTGGTGTGTTGGTGAAAAATTAAGGTCGAAATACGTTAAAGGTAAAGTATTATGTTGGGCAAACAATATGATTCGTTACAAAATTTTAACAAAGTAATGATATTGTAACATTAAACTTTAATTGAAATAACAATTCAAAATTTTGTTTTTTTTTAATCATGATATTGTCAATTTAAGATTCCTTTTTTTTTGAATTAAAAATAGATGTGATATATTATATATATCATAAAACTACGTAATAAAAAATTGAAAAAAAAAATGTTTAATTTTTGAAAACTTATTAAACTTATTTAAATTATATATGTACCTATATTATTTACCATAGTGATTATTCTTATTTATATTGATTGCCTACTTATCTTTAAATGGAATTTAATAAATTTTTTAAATAATAAAAGAAAGCATTAAAATTTAAATAATAAAAAGTTTTTTTATAAAAATAATAATTATATTTACTATATCTCTGGAATTCAAAAATGATTTGTTATACCAAACTATGAAATTGAAATTACTTCTTTATTTTTAATCAAAACATCTAAATTTTTTATAATATAATTAATATTTCTTTTATGTGGATTTGTTATTGATTTAATAGAAAATGATAAAAGAATTTTTAGAGGTCATTGGCTATTATCATATTAATAACATTTTATATAATCTAATTTATTAATATTAATGAGTATTGATTCTGTTAAGTCAATTTTTAATTGTAATAAAAATACTTTCTGTTCATCTAATAAAAATTTCTCAAAAAATTTTATTCTTTTTTTTGTTAAAGAAAATTTTTCAATTAATTCCTCTAAATATAATAAAACATGCATTAAATTGAATAAAATTAATTTAATTAATTATAATTTTTTTTTTAAAAAAAAAAATTTACTTATAAATTTATTTTGGATATATATTTACTAAAAGAAATTGTAATTGGTATTAATAAAGACTAATGTATTTTATCCAGATATTAAGATATATTTATATATATTAAATTTTCAACAATTTTTTTAATATCTAATAATGGACTATTTGACTTCCAATCCCTAACTATATTATCTTTAATAACAATATAATAATTTAAGTTTGATGAATTAAATATACTTTTTAAAACTTTTATATTTATTGTCTTTTTATCAAAATTATATAATAAATATAGTGAACTTCTTGGAACAGATTAATGCAGTATAGAAAGATTATTATTATTATATTAATAAATTAAAATATTATTAGTTGATTTTATTACAGATAAATGATATATAATATTTATATTTGTAATTAATAAGGATATAATTAAACTTATTAATAAATAAATTGATTTAATATTCAGATTCTCATATCTATAATCTGAAAAAATAAAGAAAATTAATTTTAACTAAAAAAATAATTATTTATATGTTCAACTTATATTATGTTTACTATCTGAAAAAATATAGTTAAAGTAATAAATAAAATTTTTTAAATTATTTTATTTTTAAAAGTAATTAAAAATTGTATTTTATTTTAAAAAGCTGGCTAATTAATAGAATTGGATATTTTCAAACCTAGTAGAAAATCCCAAATGCTATTGGAATAATGCATAATATTTTAAAGGTAAGATATTTGAAGATTATATAACATATAAGTAAGATTTTTATATATTATATAGAAGTAAGAATATAGGCTTTTAATAAATGGATATTATATAATAAATGTTATAATAACCTTATATTTTGTTAACTATTATGTAAAGTTATTAAAAAATCCTTTTTAAAATAATTATTAAAAGTTTTTATATCTTTATTAACATATTAATATATTTATTATCCAATTTTTTCATATTAAATATAAAATTAAGAATATAAAAAAATGATCATTAGACATATAATTAAGATTATAAAAAATATATTATAAATATATAATAAACCTAAAGTTTAAAATAATACTTTTATAAATTTTAATATATTTTTATCCTTTATTTTATTAAATATCAAAATGCACATACTACCAATCTCTATAAAAATAATATTACAAAAAAATTCACTTCTAAATAAAGTATTATTGATTGGTAAACAAAAAAAGAGATAGCTATTAATTTAATATTTATATTATTATAACAGATTTAATAAAAAATACATAAACTTTAAATATAAATTTGAATTCATTAGATTCTAATTTTATATTAATATTTATTAAATTTGCAATTCTAATACCAAAATTCCCATTAGTTATAAAAATATGAAATAATGATTAAATAAATTTTGCAAATAGTATTTTTTCTTTATTTATTAAACTAAAATTTCCTTTATCATTTTTAATAAATAAAAAAAAAAATGAATTAATTTTTATAATTACCTTAATATTATCAAAATAAATATTAATAATAATAGTACATATAATTTGGTGTAATACTTCTATATTATAATAGTATTAGTTTCATAATTTACAAAATAAATTTTAGTTAAAATTTAAGCTGAATTTTAAGTAAATAGTAGTAAACTGCTAAGTTAAAAATTGATTAAAGTTTAATTATTAGTATTAGATCACAAATTAACTTAAAATTGGCTAACTGAATTTTAGCTAATTTGGATTATTATTATTATTATTTTTTTTTAATAACCACAGTACATTTACAAATTTATTAGAATAATGTTAATAATATACTTAAGTAAAGAATTAAATAACTATACTAATATTATAGGGCTCCGAATAATACTAATATAACTCACAAATGATCGGCATGTGTTTACTATTAACTCTACACATTTTTTTTTCATAGTAACACTACGCAAACTTAAATCTTAGTTTAAAAAATAATGTAAAATACGCAAATTTAAAATCTTAGTTGCAAAAATCTCATTTATTTTGGCTTTTTATTACATGTTTTCTACACCTTAAATTTTAATAGTATCTATGAATATTGCTATTATTAAACTACTATTGCCGCCTTTATTTCCTCACAATTAAAATAATTATATATGATTTTTCCAAAACCTTTCAAACTTAAAGAATTTTCAGTTACAACAACATCCATATTTGCTAAATAATATACTATATTATCAGGATGGCGGTGTGTAAAAATTTTTGATTTTTCAATAGTTAAACCGGAAAAGATATTATGATGAATTGGCAAAAACACATGAAGTGTAATATACGATAAATTGTCAAGATCTGTTACCTCTCCTTCATGATAAGCATGGTAATTATATACCTCATAATAATACATTGCTACAATACGTTCAACACAAAATGTTGAACCAAAAATTGCAATAACGAATTGATTTTTTAGTAAAGGATTGTCAGTATTGATATTAGCACAGTCAATATTCAGAATTGTAAAAATTAAATTGTTATTAATATAAAACATAATATAATAATATATAAATTAATGTGTAAACTTACTTTCGCAAATAACAGAATTAACATTTCGTTTTTTCTTATTTTTAGATTCTTTATTTCTTGCTAATTCTTCCTTATGTTGTTGAGCTAGTTTTGCCGCCATAGTTTTTCTATTTGTTTTCCAACGTTTTTCACGTTGTGTAATAAATCTTGTTTCAGGATTTTCATTGTTAATGAGATGTGCGACCATATGACTTGCTTTATTTGGATTTATTATTAAATCACTATTTTTTGCAATTTGTTCAACACGACATTTGCATTCCAATATTCTTGAGAAATAGGCTTCATGTTTAGTACAAATTTCTAGCATCTTAATAAAATTTATTTGTCCATCCGAAAGAGTATAATGAATATCTAAGTTAATAATATTTAAATTAAAATATGTAATTTTTTGTTAGATAATCCAAATAATGTTTATATAAAATAAAATAAATTTGATATATTAATATACCATTATTTACTGAAATTAAAGATGAACAAGGTTGTATATTTTGTATCAAGTCCACTTGTTTAGTAAGGTCAGTTGTATCCAACTCAAGTATGTTATCATCATCTAATAAAGAAAGAGATTCAACTTGTTTTGAAGCTATATTAATAGCCATAAAAATATCATTTTCGTTTGAAAGTAGATTTTCATCTAATTTATCAATCATTCTACTATTCGTTGAAATATCATTGTCTACCCAATTTTAAATTAAAATTACTGGTTCTACATAAGGTAAATCCAAATTATTTTTTGATAGAACGTTTATGCCTAATGGTTCACATAATTCTTCTGCAATACTAAAAGAATCTTTAAAACAACTACGTATAGCAGAATCTGTTGGCCAATTACGTAAAATATTAAGCTGTTCAATATTTAAATCCATATTATTATAATCAAAGTGATACCCTAGATAATTAAAGTTTTTATATTAATAATGATTTTAAATTGAAGGTAAAAGTAATTTTATAATATGATATATTATACCTTCACGAACTGATTTCTCTTTTTCATATATAATAATATTATTTCTTAACGCTTTAGAATGTTGAGCAATTTTTGGAATAAGATAAATTAGGTCGGCATAGGTAAAATCAGAATTTATCTGACGAGCTACACCGAAAAAGTGCTCAACAGCTTCAGAACCATGCATCCATGAAAGTAAGGGAACTGATGAATAAAATTCGCGATGAGCTTTAACTAAAAGAACTATCGATTCCGCTAGTGATATAAGAATAGAATAACTTTGATCAGCTAAAAAATTCTTTTTCAAACTAATGAAATCAGGATAAATTTCTGATAAATTTAATATATGTTTACGCCAAAAACGAAGGAAAAAAAAGGATGTCATCGCCATTTTAATATGCTCTAATGGATTAATTTGTCTATTAAGATAACAATCAATCAATTCATCTTAATAATATATAAAATTTTAGTTAGAGTATTTATGATTAAAAATTAATGATAAGATAAACTTACCAAAAACAAATAATAAAATGAAAAATCCACACATTTCTTCATCATTGGGATTTTCTAAATGTTGCGAATATATAATTCTTAAATTTGATGAACAAAAAGCCCTATACGCGGCACCATCCAAGTTTCACAACATCTTGTTTATACATTATAGAGTCCAGACATTCATTAAAAAATGTTCAAAATATGCCATTGATCTTCCAAGTGATAGAACTCGTGCACCTGACATTATTACATTTTGACAAGTTTTTTTACTGTGCTTCGGATCTTGAATTCTTACAACAGGTCCAACTGATGGTAAAATCAGACAACTAAAAATTATATCAAATCTTGTATCAATCAGTTGTAACCTCTCATTTGTTGCCATACTTTGAATCATTATTTGTACTTGAAATTCAACTAATGCACCATCAGAACTGATACTTAAAATATGTAAGTTTAATTGAGGTGCAATATCCATTAAAAGTTTTCGGTGAAGATCAGCAATTGCAACTGCTCTATCAGAACCATTATTCAGAATCAATGCAATAACTACTGGCAGAAATTTAGGCAGTGGAACCTAAATTCAACATATCAAATTAATTCTTAGTAATATTAATATATAAATAGAAAATTAATAATATAACTTACTTGTAAAATATATGTTCAACCATTATTAGCAATAGCATTTTCATTTTTTGTTTTATTAACTATTTAAGGAATTTGATCATAATCAGTAATTTTTGTTTCGCTATTATCTAATATCAATCCAATAATACAGCCAAATTGTAATGAATAATGAAGACCAGGTTTTAACTTCGTATTATCGGTCATTGCAGAGATAAGACCTTCATAATGCAAAGTATCAATTAATCGCTTAAATCTGTCAATATTTTTATAACAAAGATCTGGGTCGGTAAGATAATCAATTTCATTCTTTCTTAATTATCTTTATTAAATAAAGTATATTAATAAAAATTTATTATAAATTTGTTAATCAAAATTAAAAGAATTTACAAAATACCTAATGTTTTAAATAGTTCGTTCCTCCAAATTTTGCTGAAAAAGTTCTAAAGCCCAGTTGCTAAAACTAGTTAAGATTACGAGAAAATTTGTAAACTCTTCTGAATATTTTAGGTTTTGCATACCCAAGCTATTTTCTTTTCGTAAACATACTTGAACTATTACATGACATAGCACAGGTCGAAATGCTAAAAATCGGCAAAAAAATGGCGCGAAAAGCAGTGACTATTTTTGGTTATTTTTGGCTATTTTTGGCTGTTTTTGGCTATTTGCGAATTAACCTATACTATTTGTAAATAGTTTATATAAATTTGCGAATAGTTTATGCAATTCTAGCCATTTTTTTTGCCTGTTTTTGGTCATTTGACGTGTGTAGTCCAGTGAATACAGGTTTATCATTAAAAACACCTCTCATTGCTTTATCAGCTAGAGTAAGCCATATATTCGAATCATTAGGTAAACTATTTTCTTTGATAATATGCCAAACCTGAAGCAAATTAGCATTTTGCAAATATTTTTTCATCAGATCACTCTCAAACCAAAATAAAGGAGTGTGTTTTATATTTTAAAGTTTTGGTGTTGGTACAATAATCCGATTTGCTAATAGAGTATTCGAACATAATAATAAATATGCCGTATAACAGATTTTATCATGACAATTTTTATCAACATATCTGTTACATTCTTTAGCACGTACAGAATCGCCTAAAATATGATATAATAATATAAAATAAATAAGTTATAAATGTAAGTAAATGATACAAAAAGTTAAAAACATTAAAATTTTATTTATAATTACTTTGCCGATCAATAAACCATTGACTTTCAGCATAAATCTGACGATTGAGAATTCTTTTTTCTTTATAATTAAGTTTCTTTCTAGAAAATCCTTTTTTAAATCTATTTGCCCACATTTCCTTTGCAATTACTTCTACACAACGAGAACCACCAAAATTTGCAGGAGTACGATCAATATATGCTGAAATTTTAGCAGAATAAAGTCCACTACAAGTTCTTCTTTTATTTGAAGCCAAATCAATAATATTTTCGTTAAAATCAAGATCAATATTAAAATTTGAATTGTCATCTTTACTATGCTTATCAACGCCAATAATATCATCATCATCTATTGCGTCCTTGGTCCTCAACTTCACTATCCTAATCTTCCTACTCTTCATCAGAATCATCATCATCATATTTTTTATTAGTAACGTTAAAATAATCATATATTATTTTTTGACCTTCAACTCGTTTACAACCTTTACTTCTAGTATGACAATTAATATAATCTTCATTCCATTTTCTTGAAAGTTTAATCGCCGCATCACATATACAAATAACTTTTTTAGCACGTAAAACTTTAGCAACAAATGGATGCTTCTTCAAACGTTCTTTTGAATATTTCCAGCCTGTTATAATTAAAATACGATTTTAATAGTGTTTAACTGTGTTTTAGATAAAAAAATGTATCTGTATAGACTGATATGATTCACTTGTAATGGGAAATCAAACATTATTAAATTATCACATGCAAACGACTTATATGAGAAATGTAAGATGCATGGGAAACTACAGGAATTAAGTAATTGACATGCATGAATTCTCTCATAATATCATATAATATGAAAATTTACCTTTAATGTAAACAATAAAAACCCACAATCATGTATTGACGTATTTAAAAGGGGGTGGGAATAACGAATTCAATGTAATTTCAATATAATCAGAACAAATATGATTTTATCTAAATAGTAAATACATATTGTATATTACTTTTAGAAACTATCAGGAACAATTGTAATAGTTTAGGAATAAATAAAAAATAAAAATAAAAAATTATGACTGATTTAAATATTATTAAAAAATGATCGATACTACGCATCTCTAAACTCTTAGTTTTTATTTTAGTTAATTCTACGCAAATATAATTTATGAGTTAATCCAAAATTAGACTGATTTACGCAAACTCAATTTATTGGTTTAAAAATTAATCTCATATAAACTCTACGCAAATCCATTTGTGAGTTATATCAGTATTGTTCGGGGTCCTGGTAAGTATGTGGGTTGGGTAAGGTTATTTGTCTAAACCTCTTCAAAATCCTACGATTAGTTTCATCAAAATTTTACTATAGATTTATTATAGTTTCGGCAGAGTTTCGGCAGTTTCAGCATTTATAATAAGTTTCGGTAGTTTCGCCTTTCTCCAAAGTTTCACCAGTTTTTTAATATAATTTTAATATAGTTTCGGCAAAATTTCGCTTTTCGGCAAAACGCCATCTTGCCTAATAAACCCCTAGGTTTCGGCAAGCAACCTTAGGGTTGGGTTTATTTTAAGTAATATAATAATTTTATTTGGTTCAAATTAATAAATAAATTTTAAAATAATATAATAATAATAACAATTTCTATAATAGTATATTCAATAGATATAATATTAATTATTTTTATTCTATAATTAATAGACATAATACTAATTATTTTTATTTTATATTTATTCTTATCCATATTTTGATGATTACATTCTACTGGGTGGATATAGCTTATGATAATTTGTTTGTATGGTATATAAACTACATATCAATAAAGTATATATAAATCATTAAAAAATAAATAAATAAATAAATAAATTTTACATTACTAAATAATAAACTATAAACAATAAATTTAAATTATGTTTTTAAGAAAAAAGAATTAAACGGATTGAACGGATTGAACAGATATTTGTTGAACTAACTTATGGAATTCTACTATGATTTACATCTTGGATTAGAGTTTCCATTTTTGCATCCAGCTTACACTAATTTCAAAATGTATGGAATACGTGACAAATTACAAAATTCTATTTGCCGACAACCCGCATGAATTTATCAAGTGTACAGTACATAAGGTTACCTGCCTAAACCTCTCCAAAATTTTACGATTAGTTTCTCCAAGATTTTACTATAGTTTTATTATAGTTTCGGCAAGATTTTGGCAGTTTCAGTATTTATTATAAGTTTCGTCAGGTTTCGCTTTTCTCTAGAGTTTTGCCAACTTTTTAATAAGACTTTCATATAGTTTTGGCAAAGTTTCGCTATTTTGGCATTTCGCCAACTTGCCAAAACCCCTAGTTTCTCCAGTAACCTTAATGGTACACTATAATTTTGACCAGAATTAAATGTGATCAGCATATAATTGGTCGAGTTTATAATTTTGGCCAGAATTACAAAACTTATGTAACACAATTCCAGAATTTGTGTAGCATAATTTTCTATAACTGATAAAAATCCCAATGGCTAAACTATTTACCTGGTATCACATGATTTATAATTTCGTAATTTGGGCTAGCACTATAAAGTTTTGATATCACACCAGGTTGAGCACCCGGTTGCACTTACTTTAAACGCAAACCAGTTTTTTTAGAATGAATCTGAATTGAACTGAATCATAAAAAAATAGATGAAATCGGTTTAAAAACTGGATGGTGCATTCAGTTCCAAACTCTAGTACAGAATACTATATTATATATAATTTTATTTTATTTAATAAAATAAAATTAAGTTTACATGTTAACATTGACTTGTATATCTAATATTATACCCTTTATAATAATATTGCTATATAAAACTTTACTACTTTTAATTAGTTTTTGCAAATATAATATCTTTTTAATTAAACCATGAATAACTAAATTAGTTAAAACAAAATGAATTAATTGCCGATCTGCATGTGATCGATAGAATAAATATAGTAAATTTTGGCGTTATGTTTAATAATAAAAAAAAACTCGTCTAGAAATCTCTTTTNTATAAAATTAGATGAGAGCTGAAATTTGGTAAAATTGCGGGCAAATTTGCCCGCAATTGCTTACAGTTTAAGGGATAATAAAATTATGTAATTTATATTATTTCTAAAACTATATTTATTATATAATACAGACTGTTTTATATATATTATATATATATATATATAAGCTTTATATTGTACTGTATAGATTTTATTTCAATTAATTATATAGGTTGTACAGTATAGTTTATTTATTTATCTAGTAATACTAATTATTTATTATACTAAATGATTCCTCCTTATTTTTAACTTTATTACTAATTTTATAAAATAAGAAATTTTAAACATATAACTTTCAGTTAAATTTTGGAATAAATTTTAATTGAATTTAATTTCAATTTAACTTAATTGCCGATCTGCATGTGATCGATAGAATAAATATAGTAAATTTTGGCGTTATGTTTAATAATAAAAAAAAACTCGTCTAGAAATCTCTTTTTTCCCATAATAAATAAATTTCAAAATCTCATATTACTCCAGGAAAACTTGTTGCAACTGGCAGTATTGTGCCAGAACTTCATTATGGTCCATATTTACTCGATTGGTTGATATTTTCTAAAGAAATAGCCCAAGACAAACATTATCCTATTCCTTTACGCCTAGGACTTGAAGTTATGATTCAACTTAATAATAATCCATTTATTATTCGTATAGTTCTTAATGTCCATAGTTTTTTACAGCCTGGTTATATATGTGAAGGAAGAGGACAAAGTAGTGGTATTAGTACAAGTGCTTCTGCAGCTATTACTTCTGTTTATCAATCTATCTTTGGCAGTAAAATGAAATATGCAGGACTTTCTTATTTAGGTTTAGACCAACCTGAAACAGCTCAAAAATTATTATAAGGAATTACATTTCGTCCTTTTATTATTGAATTAGAAAATATAACAGTTTTTGTTAGTTGTCTTGGTAAAATTACAATATCAAATACAAATAAAGTTGGACATAATTATGCGGCATCATTATTTCATAAATATAGAAGAGTACAATCAGTTTTTTATC